AAAGGGGTAATCTACGGTATACGGTTATTATAAATTCTTGCGAAAGATAAAATATAATGCCGGATTTTAAAAAAATACGGTACGGTAGTGTTTTAATGAACACGGTATACGGCAATTTTAAATTCTTGAGGAAAATAAAATATAATGCCGTTTTTTAATGAATCTATCTGTCTTTCTCTGGCGGACTTTTGAATTTTGGCCTCCCCCCTCTCCCCTTTGGGAAATCCTGGCTACGCCCCTATCATTGAAGGACTGAACGACTGACCAACTAATGGATGTGGATGACGGTAAAATAAATAACTATATGTAGAGTGATTTTCCTCAGACAGTGAAATAGTTAGTAGACTAATAGAGGTCAGTAGATCTTATTTCTGTCGTCTTTTGTTGTGTCTATTTGAATACTATACACCAACTGCTAGAAATCGTCTTACAGTATGAGGAAAATCACTCCGGCTAACAGATGAAATGATAGACCTTATGACAGATGGACTGATAGAAAAGGTAATGGACCCCTCTTAAAAGTGTCTTGAATGCGAGGCTAACATAATAAAAAACAAAAGAGATGCCACAAATTGCCCTATTTCACTATGACGTCACTGCTTGTTTATGTGGGGGATATAATCGCCAAATTCAATAGAAAATTCAACAAAAATTTGCTCCTAGCGAAACCGTTTAATCTAAAATGGCCTGGTTTTCAGATATGATATGTGTTAATATGTACTAAAAATATTCTGAGCGTTTGCTGGCTATGCTACTTCTCTTCGTGGATTGATACGGGTTTTAGAACAAGTTGCGTTGATTTGACCTCGTCCGACGACCATGATCCTTTGCATTTAAACGATAGATTGTTGAAGATTGTTTTGATGTGACGTCATAGTGAATTAGGGCAATTCCATCGAGAAAAAGTGTGATTTCTTTTGTATTTTCACGTTAGCCTCGCATCCACGATACTTTTGAGAAGGGTCCATCAATGACAGCTTGAATAATTTGTCAAAGAAAGAACTATTCGTAAATAGTAACCTTTTTTGGTGTGTCCAATCAGCTCTATGTTTAGTAGATCCGCGTGGCTTAGTACAGAGGCACAGCCAGAACCAATAGCATCAAAAATCTGCAAAAACAGTTGAATTACTTGAATTCGTTTATTTTTTAGTGGTTCGGTTTAATTTTTCTTTTTCACGCCGAAAAAAAGGCCAAACCTTGCGGCCATGTTGGTACCATTTAACAAAAGATGTCTCATTAGCATACATTGTTAACGGTACCACAATGGCCGCCATGTTTTTTTCTTTTAACTCTCTTGTGAATGCTTTCAAACCATCAATAGTTAGTACGAACATTTTTAGTTACACTAATAAATTCCTTCACATTCACTTGTTGTATTTAATACACCAACGCAGTCCCAACTAGTATTTGTGATTAGTATAACTTTAAATTTGAATATCGTGTAGTTCTAGTGTTTTGGTTAATGTCTATCAAAATCTATAACGGTCTGAGTTAAAAAATTTTAATTCTTGGTCTGCAATCAATCCCAAGAGAACACAATAACAAAAGGGATGTCCGCCATGTTGGAAGATATAACAAAAGAATTCATTGAAAAATCATTTGTCAAATTCTTCCAACATGGCGGCTATGACGTCTATTGCAAACGAAGAATGTTGGAAAAACAAAAGCCCAAACAAAGTTTTCAAGGTTGTAGAAACTTGAAAAGCGCTCTAAATCTAACTGAAGATGGCTTTACGACAAGTCGAAACATGTCTTTAAAATTTAAAAGTGTTGTGGTGTTTTTAAATTTAATACGCTCTATAAAATCTATAAGTAAACAGCTAATTTGAAAAAATAAACATGTTAGCCAATCAGAATCGAGAAAATTTACAAACTGCAGTGTCATTTTTTCCTCTTCGAAAATATGAATTCTCAGTCCACCAAATGACAAAAATAACGTTCTTGATAAGTGCCTGATAACAGTGACACAATATTTAATAGATTTTATAAATTTATTGCAATGGCGGACATATGTTATTATTTTTTGCTGGTCAATTCTTTCACAGATTTAATGACACCTTAGTTTTAACAGTCCACCAAATGACAAAAATAACATTATTGATAAGTGCCTGATAACAGTGACACAATGTTTAATAGATGTTATACATTTATTGCAATGGCGGACATATGTTATTATTTTTTGCTGGTCAATTCTTTCACAGATTTAATGACACCTTAGTTTTAACATCATTTCTATGTGACTATTCAGACAGATCAGTTAAAAACTCTCTTACAAGAGAATAAGCATCAAACTAGCTCAATATTCACAATACCTTAATTGGTTCAAAGTATCTCTCTTTTGATGTAGGTACTGATATATTAAAATCAGTGTAGTTACAACCATAGTGGACGTTTCCAATACATCTTGTTCCTGGTACGGCTACATAAAGCTGTCTGTTGCAGGTCGGACAAGAAAGACCTTCAGTGCAATACTTGTAAGAAACTGTTGATAGAAAATTTGATTTGAATCAGTTTTAGTTTCATGTTTTCACGAGTTAAGCTCGATAGTTACAGCTTGAAAGCACGGTACAACTGTGGCTCACAACTGTAGGGGTGTGGATGAACTACTAAGCTTAAGGTCAAGGCCAATACCAGTTAACTGTTAATAATTTTACATGCGCTGACTATAATATTAACCAGACACACACACAGACACACAGACAGTCGGAAAGACGGACAGACAGACGGACAGACTCACAAAACAAAGAAACAAAAGAAACAACAAATAATCCAAAGGAGTTATCAGGGGACGATGACAATTAGCCAGCGTTCCAACATTCTTTGTGGAGCGGTGCAATGAAGAGATTGTCGACCGTCCTAAACAGAGAGCTGTTACGCAGTCTAGTTCTGCTATCGTAAACATATAATACAAATACCTGTGATAGTCTGAACATTTTTGACATTCACGCGTCTTGTGAAAATAGGACCCACGACACTGAACTTGGGATTTTCTGTCAAGAAAACAAAATTGAAATTTTGAACCAAAAATCATCTTGCGCATGTTGCATTTTGCTTCCAGGTTTTCTCTCCCAGGTTTTTTCATTCTTCACTTATTACCCATTTCCTGATATATTTAAGGTGCTGAAACACGGTGCAACATTGCACGCAACATTGCAAGCAACAAATTTGAATCGGGGTGACAAACTTTGCAACAAAATCATTGCTTGTGTCAGTCTGCTAAGATATTTGGTCAGCAGTTATAAATATGGTGCAAGCTGATTGGCTGGAAATTTCAAAATGTTGCAGATAATGTTGCAGCCCTGTTCACATAATGAAATTTGTTGCGTGCAATGTTGCAAGAGTAGAGAGCGATTCAACTTTAGATTTGTTGCATGCAACGTTGCGTGTAACAAGTTTGGTGTAGACACGCGCTGCAACAGTTCTCTCTCTCTGTCAAATCTTTCCGCTTTACTGTGCTGGCTTGCTTGGCGGTCCGCTCATGGAGTGCACGCTCTGAATTCAAGTGTCTATGACCCTTCTGACAATATTCTCAGTATTAATTCTACATGCGGTAAGCTGTTGAATGACCCGAAAACATTTGAATTTATAAAGATTTTTCTATGCCATATGTTAATGACTGTGACGTATGAGGAGTAATCATTTAATATACAGAACATTACTGCACATAAAAATTGAATTTAAAATACTTCATTGTTTTACCCATTGCTCTTATAGGTAATATAGGTCTTTTAGAGGCACTTTAAGAGGTTTGTACTTCAAGGACACTAAGGATTGAGTTACCTTTCAAACAACCATAGACCTCTGCCCGAAGAGCAATTCCACTAGAACTCCAGGTTTTGGGATGAATCCGTATGTATCGTTTCTCAAAGGGGTATTTGATTTTGTTCTTTACTTGAGCGTTGGCATCGACGTTAGCAGTAAATATCTATCGTGGAACAATAGTGCTAAAAATTATTTTGGGTTATGAGAGAGTACTGGAAACATACTAAGGAAGCGCTAGTCCAGGCGATGGTCTCCTTAGACCGCTATGCTTTTGTTGGGCTGCCTATGCTCGCGGAAAGAAACTCATATGGAATTTGAATTCGGCTTAATGTTAGGTGTTAAGGTGACTGCCTACTTTTGAACGTTCGATTTGAGCCCACTATGTGCGCGTTTTGAACTTCAAGAGGACAAAACCCTCGAATTTTGCATGGGACTCTCTATTTTTAATAGATCATTCGAAAAAACTTCAAAAATTCTAGGTTATATCAACATTTTAGAAAAAGTTTATATTCCTAACACATGAAAAAATAGATTTTTGTAGGGAATTTTGTTCGGCTTTATGAGCACCGAAACTACAAAATATGACAAATCAATGTATCTCTTTATTTTTTTTTTGTCGAAAATATCTATGTATTATTGTAGAATAATTGGCTAGCCGTCATTAGTGCAATTATATAGTCTGCAAATAACTAATATCTTATGAATCTTAGTTTTTTTCTAATCACTTCCGGTGGCGCAAGTTTTGCTCCAAAAGCTTGCGCGTAGGCTTGCATTACATGCTGATTATTTCGAAAACAAGCTCGGGATACCCTTTTTTTTCTTTCCAGATTTGGAATAAGCATTAAATTTCAATTCGGAAAATCGAAGTTTAAAAAAAAGTTTAAATCGTTTTTTGCAAAAGTAGCTAGAACCCGGGAAAAACCTTGAATCCTGAAGGAAGAAACTTATCTTACCACTAGCTGACCGTCTTCAATGTAATCAATCCACTCATTGCCGTCACGGCTTGAACTGATCCAATAAGACGACACGAACATACTCTTTCCTCCAACCGAAGAGCCTTGTGTGGCTACAGCTGTTAAAAACACTTTGTCCACAAACATTATCATAAGGTACTGCTTTTCATCCAATTTGCTTGGTATCCAGCATTTGGGTCCGTTAAGGCGCGCATGTTTAGCTAGTGATCCGTCTGTTACAGTCGATGCTGTGATATGGAAGTCGTCAATCTTTCCATTTTCCAGTCCAAGTGGAAAATCACAGTCTGAAAAATGAGGAAAAAAACCCACATACAAATAAAGTAATGTTTATTCGTGCTCTTTCCTGAAGGCAGGAAATAGGATCCGGTGGAGGAGTTTTGGAGCAGCCATGACGCAAAACTTGAAATTTCCCTACGACCTGGGCCCGGTTGTACGAAGACTGGATAGCGCTATCCAACGAATAAATCTTATCAGTGGATAAATGTATTGGATAACAGCATCGGCTTATCCACTGGATAAGGATTTATCCGCCGGATAGCGCTACCCAGGCTACGTACAACCGGGCCCTGTTTGAAACCCCTCTATGATAAAGATACTGAAGATACTGATATAATGGTTATTTTTGAGGAGTAGAAGAGAGGGGTGCTGACTTAATTATAAGCTGTGACGCAAGAAGATCCTGATACAAAGGACTTAAAAGGATGATGATGGTAATAGTATTAGTCCGCATTTTCTTTCAGTAAATTAAAATTGTCTTTTATCCATTAACGAGCACGAGCTGAGGACAGTCGCTCAAGACCGTGACGAATAGAGAGAACTTGTCAACACCATTTGCCGTCACTCCATTCATGAATGAGACACAATCGACAAATAAAGCCCTGGTTTTCACCTAAACCCACAAGAACGCCTGCTTTGCAGGCTTATCCTTGACTAGCTGAGGTTAGACCCTTGTGGCCCACGGCGGAGCATAGGCCATGCATCGATGGTCCTTCTCCAGCGCACACGGCTTTGGGCCCTTCGGTTTTGGACTCAGACCATTCTCCTTCAGCTCATTCCTCCAGCTGTTTCTAGACCGCCCACGCTTCCTTCTCCTTTGAGGGTTCCAAACAGAAACATGACATGTAATATTGCTCGTAGGCTTGCATAACGTGTGACCGATCCAACGCATGTCCTCCTTCTTATCCTTGACTACAGATTCATTTTTTAAGATCAAATCACTTATTCGCAAAGGTAAAACGTTACATAAAGAATGTAGTACAATTTAAACTATACCAATATTTTACGATCTTTTCACTTATATATCTGTGAATAGCTAACTTATGAACGAGGATAAACCAATTTAAATGAGTCTGTGTTCAGAAGAGGAGAGGAAGTTAGAGGAACAATATAATTTCAAACGTGAAGCTACAAAATGATAAAAATGAGGAGGAAGACAATGGGGCTTGTAATAATAATAACGATTGTTCCCCTGCAAAAAGAGGAGAAAGCCTTACCTTCTGGTAAAGTGATAGGTTCTATGGTCTGCATTGGGTGATCATCCTCTGTAAAACATGAAGGAATTAAATATATCGCAAAATAATATGTACTTATTGACTGAGTTAGGTCGAGCCGTACGGGAAAATATTTGGCTCGAGGTGATGCCGTACAAATGACCGAGAGCCAAATATTTTCCCGTACGGCCCCACCTAACTCAGTCAATAAGCATTTTATCATATGACCCTCACGAAAAGAAAAATAATAAAATAAATACGGTCGCAGGTTTCGAGCAGGGCCGTACAGATTCGTACGGCCCTGCTCACGCCATTTTTCCGAAGGTTTTTTTAAGAGCAAGCGCCCGGGCAGATACGGGTCATATGATAATTTGTTGCATTTTTTTATATCATAAGCAACTAAATACCAGACTTGCACAAGATGTTGTAAAAAACCATAACATTATGATAATCCTTCGTACAACATGAATAAGAGCAAGATATGGCAAAAAATACATTAACGTTTTTATGTCATAAGAAACTAAAGACAAGTTGGTGCAGCACCAATCGTTCGCCATGACATTACTTTCCCACCTTCTAAGAGAATTATGGCCCTTCAACAAAACGAATGTTCAAATTGACCAACAAACGTTAAGAGAGAATTCTTTTCGTATTCAAGCAGTGAGCGCCAAAAACTATTTTCTTGAAGAAAGGCTGTTGTACAAGGCTAAAATCTCGTTATTCAGAAAGTTTAACTTGTTTGTAAGTGGAGATGACCGATGAAAGTAGAATCAAAGTGTTAATTAAAGTGTTCGAAAATGAGGTTTAGGCCTTCATTTGCTTATTTCCCAAAAATTGGGATCAAAACTCATTACAAAAGTCTAGTTTTTGGCGCTTTTTGCCATTATTGCTCATTATTGAAAATGAGCTAGCGCCTTGGAATGACCTATCTCCTATTGCTTTTCGCCTATTGCCTATTGCCTTTGGCCATGACATCTGACATGAATGATACAACAGTGACTTGTTATGTTGGTTGTCGAGACTGTGGCGGATCCAGGGGTGGTTCTGGGTGCCATGGAAACCCGCTTTGCGAGATCTTGTGAAGCCAATCATGTTCTTTATGCAAACCCCCTTTGTGAAGCCAATCTTAATATCTTTTTCTACGTAGCAGCCATTTTGGAACCCCCTTTTTAAATTTCTGGATCCGCTACTGCGAGACTACTGGCTTTGTTCCCGCGGTAACGTAGTCTGGTAACGCAAGCGCACTAGTCACACAAGACGAACACTAACCTGGACAACCATAAAGCTCCAATTTCAAAGCTATTTTGCCTGTATGCACCAAGGGTA